GACGAGCCCTGGCATATTTTCTTCCCCCTAATCTCAACTTTCGAGGCTTGTGGTTTGAGACGTGTGGTGGAGAAATGTTGTGGTGTGTGTGTGTGTGTGTGTGTCGTGTGTGTGTGTGTGCGTGGTGTTGTGGTGTGGTGTGTGTGTGTGTGTGTGTGTGTGTTGTGTGTGTGTGTGTGTGTGTTGTGTGTGTGTTGTGTGTGTGTGATGGTGTCATTTATGTAAGTTATTTCACAACAACACTCTCGCTATGTAGAGACAGCAATAATCACAAAGTACTGAAAGGACAGCAACAATATCGCCGTTGTCACACACACACACAACACACACACACACACACGAACACACACACACACACACACCAACAACACCACACCCACCACCACACTAATGCGAACAAGCTGGTCATAATACAGTAAAGACTTTCAATGGAGGAAACTGTTAAGTGTTTTTTTATGATAAAAAGAAACTTCACCGAGCCAGGTTCCCTCTCACATTTCTCCCAGCCGCCACGCCGCGGCCATTCTCCCTCTACTGCCACACACGACACACACAACAAACGACACCACACCACACCACACACCACAACACAGAACAACACACAAACAAAACAAAAAAAAAAAACAAAACACAAAAGAACAACACACACAAACCCAACACACAAACACACACACAACACCAACCAAACGACACACACGAACAACACACACACAAAACAACACAACACCAACACACAACACACACACACAAACTAAACCACAACACACCACACACACTACACAACACAACGGAGCACACACAACAACACAGCCCAACACACAACAAACACACAACACCAAACCACACAAAAAAAAAAAACAAAAAACACAACAACAACTACCTCTCTAACCTCACTATGTGTATTTGTAAAGCGCTTTGAGTCATTGATGAAGCGCTATAATAAATATAAGGATTATTATTATATACTTTTATTTTAGTTGTATTAGTTTAAATTAAATACATTTTATTTGTATTTGTATTATTTTACATTTTCTTAGGACTATATAAATAACTAATTCATTCATTCATATTGCAAATTCTGACTTTAACTTCTTATCGTTATACAAATATTTTAACAAATTATTTTTTTCTGTTTTATTGTATTACATTCATAAACTGGAGCAAACGTGAAATAAAAACCCAACGTCCCTTCAAATAAATAAAGTACTCGTGAAACCGTGAAGTCACTTGGCGGAGGGATTCTCTCTTTAAGAAGTGTTTAAACAGAAAAGTGTGTGTTGTCTCCGTGTGTGTGTGTTTGTTGCTGTGGTTGCAGTCGTCGTCACCCTCCCTTGTTGTTGTTGTTGTTGTTGTTGTTGAAGCTAATAGCAGACACAACCTCTCCATTAGCAGTTAATCTCTCTGCCAAGAGAGTGAAGAAAGCAATATTACCGGGAGGATTTAAACCAGCGCTCGCCTATCTTCGTCTTCCTCCTCTTCCTCCACCTCCTGCTCAACTCCCCTCTGAAAACTCACACCTTTCATTCTTCCTGAGCACACACACACACCACACGCACCCACACACACACACACACACACACACACACACACACACACACACACACAGCAGGAACACACACAGTACACACAGAGAGAGAGACACACACACACACACACACACACACACACACACACACACACACACACACACACACACACACACACACACACACACACACACACACACACACACACACACTGGAGACGAGCACAGTGCCAGTCCATTTCAGACGAGCGGGCCCTATCTGTCTCTCCAGCGGGGGTGAGGAGTGTCTGTACCTCCCTCTCCTGCTGCAAGTCACAGCTAATACCTCTGTTAAGTAAGTACACAGATGTTATACTTGAGTCAAAGTACTTACTTACTTTAGGAATAGCACAACAGTATTACAATCACACTGTACTTAGATTATTAATGTGAAAGACCTTTTCTTTCCTGTAAAGAAGCTTTTATTATGACTTATATTATTGAAATATTATTATTGATGCTTTTCATGTAGGAGACATTTTAAAGTGACGGCTGGTAGACCTCACATTTTAACTACTTTGTATCATGTTGGATAGTTTAATCTGAAATAATTGATCGAGTAGAAGTGGAAAGTAGCATGACATGTAAATGTTCGAATTAAAACAATTACGAAATATGGTACTGTGGTACAGTACTTGAGCAAATCTATTGGGCGTAAGTTGTCTGTGCTCAAAATGCACTTATATTATAAGTCAAGTACTGAGGTGAACGGACCCTCGAATGCTGTTGCAATTTACTTTTGTTACTCTCTTTTTCCTTATTTTTCTTTGTTTATTTTATCTTTCCATCACCTGCCTCCCCCAAGTGCTTTCTGGCAGCCCTGTGTAGAATACGCTCAAAGCTCTTAGTGAGAAGTAAAATAATGGCCGTGTAATAGCAGGTAAAGAAAAAGTAACTCAAAGAGCCCTGTTTGTTATTTTCCAAGAGGTGAAACTTTTCCCGTTATTTAACTCTATTATAATGTCAAAAGGTTCTGAGCAAACAAAATCTCAAAATAAAGTACTCACAGTTGACCCTGGCGACACACACACACACACACACACACACACACACACACACACACACACACAATCCATTCATTTTATGTTGTCTGCATGATGCCCCTGTTGCCCAATATTCATATGTTATCTACATTCAAAGCGTCTCTGTTTGAGCAGAGGTAGCTTTAGACTGAGGTGACCGGCACAGTCCTGCATAGTGTTCCACATCAAACGGTTTCAGTCCTTCCTGCTGCAGTGGACTGTCCTGCCTCATGTGATGTTCCGAACTGTATTCAAAGTTTAATCAACAGTAAGTACAAAAGTGTCCCAAAGGAGCTCAGTGAGCGAGATCCTATGGGCTTTGAAACCCTATTGAGTGGAATCGGTCCACTGCTGCGTGAATGGGTCCTTTTAGGGCAGAGCTGGAGTTGTGAAACTCTCTAGGAAGAAGAGACGACGGGGCTAGGTGATGTCAGTGCATATACATACAGAATAGTGCCTGTAATGGCTCCAGGTTGGGTATGTCTGCTCTTCCCACCTCTCTCGAATGGTTCAGTGGTGCAGGCCAACATCACAAGGTAGAGTATGTTCCCTAATAAATCACTTCCGCTGAGTGCACACAATCTCCTAAATAACATTTGTTTAATGGCCTGGAGGTCAACACAGGGTGTAGGGTTGCTTGGAGCCAAACAGAAACATGACCACCACTTAACTTATAGTAGTGAACCGGTCAGGTTGTCAAAAAAATAAATGAACTCAAGCCTATCAAAAAACGTACTAAGCACATTATACTGTAGATTAGTCAGAAAGTAATAGTAATCCTCATACCTTGATCAGCAGTGGAAAGGTGCCTTTTCTCTCCTTTAGTAGCCTTTCCAGCTTAGTTTTGGAGCCAATTCTGTATAATAGAAGACATTTTAGTCAAAAATGTTTGCGCACAAGGAATTATGTTCAATATATGGATGGAAACATATGAGCGTATCATGTCACTGTTAAAAAGCGAACACATTTGTAAAATGCAGCCAATATTGTCCTTGCTGCCCATGACCTTGACTGAGATGAAAAGCATATTTAAATGTTTAGAATACTTACATTGTTGATAGAGTCACAACTGTAAGAACATTTTTCATTAGTGCAGCATTTTGAATAAACTACACTGACACCTTCTGGGCACATGTTGGTATCATTGAGATCCTCTGGTTAATGGAGGTGTCAAGTCAGTCAGACAGCTTTGGTGATGATAAACAACCAAAAGTGGATGTTTCCAACATTTTTGAATGGTAGCTACTTGACATAAAATAAAATAAAAATGTTGCTAACTAGGAAAATATGTAGGCCATACTAGTTTAAATAATTATTATACTGAAAGATACAAACACCACAACAACATTGTGTTGAAGATAAACAAACTACGAACATTTATCTTCCACATTGCCTACTTACAGGAGAATTCCGCACTAACCTTTTGTCGGATGATTTGTTCGGCGCACTCATGGTGAAATAAATCAACAAGGTGACGGTGATGAGGCAGTCACGCGCGACATGCCCAATAGTTTGTTTGAAGTCTCCGACCCGGTGCTAACACTGCCTGTGTGCTGCGGAGCGTTACCATCACCGGTTTATACAAAAAACAATGGCTGTTATACTCGCCACACTAAGTACTCACTGACAATTTGATTCTGCTTTTTTTCTCTCTGACGCAGCTTTTAGCCAGGTGCTTACAGTACGTCCGTGCTAGCGCTGCTATGAGAGAGGGGAGAGGGTGAGAGAGAGCTAGACAAAAGGAGAGACAGGCACGAGGCACCCACTGGGCTATACATTTTCCACATGATGTCGGTGTAGCATTGCAATAACAAAGCATTTCCTGAATGTACAAAGTTTAGTTTTACACAAGAATTTCTAACTTCCACATGCAGATGCATACTTATAAAACATGTTCTTTTATGTTAAAAAGGTTAATGCAGATCTGAATGTTAAAATTGTTGCCCTTTAGGCCTATAGGCTACTTATTTGGTTTTAAATGTATGCCCTGTGGCATATAGCCTATAGCCTATACTGCACCAGAAGAAAGTATGATATCGAAATAAAAAACATGGGATGGATGAAGACATCCTTTCACTGTACATTCACCCTACTAATAATAAGCTGCATTTTTCTTGTTGTTCTGAGTTTGTATCTTTATGCTTTGTTGCACTTATGTTATGTCGCTTTGGATAAAAGCATCAGCTAAATTAAATTAAATTTTGGAATACTATTTAGATTAACCAGAAGGACATTTTAATTTTTAGAGGATATCCTGAAACTGTCAAAAACAAAATCGCTGATGTTTTCGGTCTTTACTTAGAATTTCTACGAATAGAGACTTAACACATTATTCATCTCAAATTTGTTTCTACTGCTAACAAATAATAACACTACCACAAAAACATCACCAAACTGATTTAAACAATATGGTTTATTTAGAATAATCAAGGCAACATGACAGCACCAGTCAGATAACATTCAGACTCCACTTTAGCTTTGCACATAGAGTATGGTTAACAGCTTTTAGTTTGACCCCTCAGTCTATTATGTGACCAGCTTTTTATCCTGTTGGTGTTATTATAGGCAGCAATATAAGTGAGCACCACTTGCATTTATAACAAAGACAATAGCGATTTGATCATGCAAGTAAAGTTTAATAGTAACATAGAAGATTTTTTTGACCAGTTTCAAACATCTGCTCTGTGCAAAAGCCCTTTCCCGCACTGCAACAGGGGATGAGATAGTGTAAAGTATTTTTAAATAATGTTATATAATTACTTAAAATTATAAGATGTTCCAACAATCTAACTGCATTAAATTAATTTCACGACATTAATCAAAGATATGAAACATCCAGTTTTATTTTGAAGGCAAAATCAACCCCTAATCTACCTTTCAGTATCACATTACAGACGAAACAATTGTATCTTATTTTGAAGTAACAGTCAGCATCTGTTGGCCATTACTATCTACAGCTCTTCCAAATATTTTCAAACTGACACAATCCACACAGTCATTGGACACATTCTGATTAATTAGTCTGAATATTAAAACACATTTGGTTTTAATTTAACAATGAGAACCACTGCAGCTGGAAGTTGTTCTATTTGTCTATAAAACGTTCCAGATTATAGATCAGGACATTTGAGCACCGTCCTTATGAAAAAAATACAGAAATATAAGCATGGTTTAGATTTTCTCTGCTGACCAGCCTCAAAGTTAGAGGGTGTGATTTCAAGAATAAGAAAGAGTTGCAGGGAGAGGGAGGGTATAAACAAACAAAACATGGCATTGGTTCCTTTTGAGACATTTGATGAACAGCTTTGGTGCACACCCAACATATTCTACTCCATTCATTAACAAACACCAGGCAGAGAGACAGAAGAAAAACACTTATTTCTTTGGCTGTGTATTGTAGATATGTCAGACTTCTCTCCCAAAGGTGGAGGTCAGGCTGAAATACAGGGCTTTGCAAAGAGGAGGTAGCAACTGTAGGCCATGGAAAACGGTCAAATCTGATCCTGGTTCAGGTGTGGTGAAAGATGAATGAACAGAACTGGGCTGATGTCTGAGGTTGAGTTATGGTCGTAGCTGAGTCTGAGGTCAGGTTGATCTGAGAACAGATAATTAAGAAAACATAAGGCTTTGTTGAGCGGGAGACACAGGTTTTTGATAATTTAAAGTGGCTGGAAACATACTTCATCCAAGATGCTTTTGGTGATGTTTTTCATAGCGAACTGCGTTGCTCGAGCTGGTACCTGTCAGTGAAAGACCCATCATCATGTCAGGCAGATTGGCACTTATTACTGATTTGGTCAAAGTAAAGGTTTTCAGGTAGTCTACATTACCTCACTTACCTAAGTAGTCCTTGTAGTCCTTGTAGTATTTGTGCCTCAGACCACGTCCATCTTTAATAAGGCCAACAAGGGAATACAAAATAAGAGACTTAAACCTGGTCTCCAAATGGTAGACATTGCACTTACGCCAACCCCTTAGCTACAGATCACAAGTTCAGGCATTGTTCTGAAAAGTCACTCCAATTTGTATATTTTAAGATTGTTTTAATAGGAAAAAACGTGGCCCCTCACAGCATTCTGATGAAATTAAGATAGGGAATTAGGTATGGCAAAGGCCTGGATTCAACGCTATAACCAGTGCTTGAATTGGAATAAAAAAGGTGCCAGTACTCTAAATCAGCAACAAGTATTTGGCACAAAGTCATAGTATATCCTATAATGCTGGTGGGTTTGTCTCTTTACTGTATATTTTAGAAAGGCTCACTGTACTTAAACAAAATGACTCAGGGTGCATCTGAGATTAGAGGGGGTGCAGTGGTAAAGTGCTATTTTTATAAGTGGGGAGTGGACCTGACACCCTCTAGTCTAGGGGGGTCCGGGGGCATGCTCCCCCGAGAACATTTGTTTTAAAATATTGAAGTTAGATGCATCAATCTGGTGCACTTTGAGAGCAAAATGAAGAGATATATGGATACCTCTCAACATCCATAATGAAACAACTGTAAACAGATTTACTTTTTCTTTATGGATATAAAAGAAAGTAAAGCTTGACTCCTACTGGCTGGTTAAATGACTCCTCTTCCCTGAGGCCACTACCAGTTTTTTGGGCCATTTTGCTGGATTTATTTGTCAATAGCGTTGCTGCACAAAGTTATAGCCCTCTAGTTTAAATCTACTACCCAAAAAGAAACATATGGAGATGGGTTACTATTTAAAAAAAATTGCAAAACTATTTGGGAACAGTGGGGCCGGGCCTCAAATCCTATAGGGGGGTCCCCCGGTAAGATTTTTTTTTAAATGTTGGACTTAAATGCATCAATCTGGTGCATTTTGAGGGGGAAATAAAGAGACTACCCCCATATGAAACAAAAATGTATACATTTAAATAATCATAAAATCATAAGTACATGGCCATAACCAATAACATACAATATCCAATATGAAAAAACATTGAAACTTGTTTATTTATTTGTTTTTGGTTCATTTATAGTTGTGAGTGTGTCTGGGCTCCTGAATCAGCCTCTCCTGTCTCCCTCCTCTCCCCCCTGCTCCTCTTTGAGGCAACAGCAAAGACTAGTTTTAGCTCTCAACAAGTTTATCTTACCTTTTTTCACCAGTTAACATTTTGTTTGTATTATTCATGCATATTTTACTAATCACTACCCCCTCAAATGGAAATATGTGTTTACATAAATGGTGACCGAACCGTTTGAGACCCATTGAGATAACTTAAACTAAGTTAACTATCTAAAGACTCAGAGAGTAATTTAA